GGCGCTAGTGAAGCCGGTCACTGTGAATGTTGGACGAGCGGGAGCCGCGAGCTTAAACGTTGTGCAGGAGGTATGCTACGTGAAGCATGAGACAAAGATTCCTGAGCTGTTGGAAGCTCTTCAAAAGACTCCTCCACCTGTAAGTTGGTTATTGAGCACCTGCTATCTCCCTTCTTTGCCAACCCACGATGCTTAACAGCCGTAGTCTTTGCTCATTTTTGATGTCCCACTTTAACTCATTGTTTTCATGTATGTGATATTCTTGGATGCCCATTGAATGGGTTGTTCAGATGAAAGCACTATATTTAGGATTTCCTCTTGATTACCTTGGAATCGCATCGTATAACTTGCCATTTTTTGTATGCTACGATTTGTCATCCAGTTTTATCTGTGAGGTGGGGTGAAAGGCTTGTCAAAGTTATATATTGTGTCTGTATTGCTGTAGGTGATAATCTTTGCTGAGCGGAAGCAAGATGTGGATGCGATTCACGAGTATCTCTTGCTGAAGGGTGTGGACGCGGTGTCGATTCACGGTGGCAAGGACCAAGAGGAGAGGGTAGCGGCTGTCAAAATGTTCCGCGAACATCAGCGTGATGTTCTTGTCGCCACTGATGTGGCGAGCAAGGGTCTTGATTTTCCAGAGATTATGCATGTCATTAACTATGACATGCCAGAGGATATTGAAAATTATGGTGCGTAACTCTCCCTTATTTTGACCAACATGTGCCTTGCTTTGTAGTACGTGTCGGGCGTAGCTTGAACCATCTGGGGTGTGATGGTTAGCTTATTGGTGGGAAGGGAGAGAAAATGGCGTCTTTATTCTTGGCGCCTTGATTGCAATGCACTGCGTACCGCAGGATAACGACAAAAGCATTGATTTTTCTCATTCTTTCGATAGTACACAGGATTGGTCGTACAGGCCGAGGGAAGCAGAAGGGTTTGGCAACCACCTTCATCAACAAGAGTGTGAACGAGTCAACCCTACTGGACTTAAAGCACCTGCTCATAGAGGCGCGACAGCCGGTGCCAGACTTCCTGCTGGAGCTCTCTGCCGATAACGTGGATGAGCATTTGGTGGGCGTGAGTGGTGATGAGGTGGGCTGTGCTTACTGCGGAGGCCTTGGACATCGCATCACACATTGTCCCAAGTTGGAGGCTGAGCAGAATAAGGCGGCTGTGGGAATGAGTCGGAAGGACTACCTCTCCTTTGCCGACTACTAGTTGATACACTTTTTAATGTTCGCCTCATTTTTACCCATTCTTGTATACATAAGAACGCATTTACTTCCAAGATGTACAACTTTTTTACCAGTCTGTTAAGCGCTACAAACGAAGACCAACTTTATCTCCTCAGATAGCAAGGC